GGGGATAATGAGGGGAGTGCATGAACAAAGAAATTACGGATAAGTCATGGAAGTATAAGGAAGAAAGCTGTAATTTAAATTTAGACATAGCCGTAGCTAATACGTAACAATGGGTCATACTGGGGTGCCTTAAATAGAATATGACCGGAGCGATCATGGCCGTGGTCATGGTGAAAATAATGACCGGAGTCATAATGTAACAGATGATGACCAGAGTTATAATGGAGCCAAGGTCATGATAAAAAATGATAATTGGAGTTATAAAGGCCAAGGCCGTGATGGAAAATGATGACCGGAGTCATAATGGCCGGAGCCATAACAAAATATGATGACCGGAGTCATAAGGGCCGGAGCCGAGGTAGAGTATGTGACATGTGGTCGCAGTAACCAGGACCGAAGTAGAACATGTCTCTGTGGCCGGAGCCGAAGTAAAACACTTTGCCCGTCAAAAAGTGTAATTGTAAAAGTAAGCAGAAGTGCTGAGCTGGGCTTAAAATATGATGACCGGAGTCATAATGGCCGGAGCTGTAATAAAATATAATGACCGGAGTCATAATGGCCGTAGCCGAAATAAAATGTGTGATACTAGGTCATTATGACCGAAGTCGATGTGAAATGTAATGCATGATTATTGTGGTCGGAGCCGAGGTGAAACACTTGCAAAATTGAGAATGTATAAAAGTGAACAAAGGTGTTGAAATGGGCGTAAATGGGCCCGTGTAAAAATACTAACATAGGTGTGACAGTTGTCCTTGGAATGACGTGCGCAATAAATGTGGCCGTAAAAAGATAACTGCTACAACTAAACGGGCAAAAATTAAAAAACGAACCGTCAAATTCAAAACGGTACCGTTTGGGGTTGGCCGTCGAATTCTAAACGCTGCGAATAGGAACCGTAAGATTAAATGAATCTCAGCCGTTGAGATCTAATTTTGCCCAGAAGTATAAATAAACATTTTTTCTGCAGAGGGAGGTTTACTTGCATTTCTTTCCCTGCAAAACTTCTGCGAAAAGCTTTATTGTGCGTTTCCTGTGC